TATCCCTGGTCGGAGAAGAATGAGGTCGTGGTTGAGGAAGTGAAGGAGATACGGGACATGGTGAAGGGATTAACGAGACAGGTTACAGAGATTGTGACCGCTACAGGGGTCTTGGCCTACCGGGACAAACCTGGAGGACCCTATTCACTTCGCTGGGACCGTAGGAACAACGATCCCTGGAGGAGTGTCGAGGATAGAAATCCTCGAACCCTGACTGATTATCGAACGAGGGGAAGAGAGAGAGACGATGAGCCATGGCGACGTAGGGACGATGAGATAGACCGAGACCGCAGAGACCACGAGCCGTTTGTGCGAGCAAGGAGGCTGGATGATTACCCTCGAAGTCCTCGCTATGAGGCCGATCGGGGTAGAGGCGACTCCCGCGGCCGATGGGAGACAAAACAGAGCCACCGAGATGGATATAGGGACGACAGATATGAGAGGTCGGGTCGAGATGGCTACAGAGGAAGTAGATATGAGAGAGGAGATCGGGACTGAGAACGACAAGATGGGTCGCGCGGACGGTTTGAGCACGGGGGAGATACGAGAGAGCAGCGCGACGAGTTGCGGGGGTGGTACAACCGAGGGGACCAACGCGATGAGTCACGAGACCGCTGGGATGATTCGCGAGGGCGGTATGAACAAGGAGGGTTTGGAGGGGACCGGCGCAACGATCCGCGCGGTCGGAATGAGAGAGGGGGATATGGCGTCTCATCAGAACCATATCCCAAGTCGCCTGACCCCAAGGCGGCCATGAATTCGATGTCTAGAGGCGCAGACGACAGAGCGTCTACTCCCAGGAACTCATGCGTCTACTGTAGAGGAGAAGATCATATCAAGAGGGATTGCCCGGACCTCAAACGGGTAATAGAAGAGGGACTTGTCGTGCTTGAMGACCGCAAGTACGTCAAGTGGGCAGATGATCTCGGAGATGTATCGATGTTCCCTTCRATGAAGGAGAATGTCGAAGCAACGAGAATAAAGACGAGTAAAGGAATGGAGCCGGTCAGGAGCCAGAGTATCAAGATAACCTTTGAGGGGGATATGACGACCACACCCATAAGGGTGGCAGCCACCAAGTCGGCGAGAGGGTCTACATCAAAGAAAACTGACACGGATTACGTGATGGCGGAAAAGGACGGGCAGCGGGTCGATGGAGAAGAGGTTATCCTTTCGCCGCGAAAGCGGGGAGTCAAGAAGTTCTTAATGAAGAGTTCGCTGGACGAGATTGACACGGTCGAGCCACTGAGGCGGACCCTTCGGCAACCCATGCAGTGCTCTATTTTGGAGTACCTGGCGGCATCGAAGCCAGCTCGTGATGAGTTACAGATGATCACGCGSAAGACTCGCATACCTCTATCGGAGGAGGGTCTGGGGGGCCCTAAGGCGGAAGCTTCTACAGTAGCAGTGACGGGGGTGACTGCCAGAGCGGATCACATGGCGACAGTCCTTCTTGATGGAATGGAAAGTGTGCCTCCAGACAAGTTTTATATACTTGGTAGCGGGGCCGTGGAGACGATTATAAACGATGGAGCGGTACTCGGTGCTGTGATTGATAACGGCAGTGAGGCTGTCATCATAGACGAGGACCTGGCGGTACAAGTTGGACTGGGCCTCGATAGGCATACCTATTTGAGATAAAGACGGCTGATGGGAGAAAGCAACAGATCACTGGGGTTTGTCGCAAGGCAGCCATAGAGGTCCAAGGGGTACGAGTGACCCTGCCTGTCTTTGCAGTCAAAAACTGCAGCTCCGACCTACTCTTGGGTCGAACGTGGCTGAGCCACGTGCATGCGGTGACGATAGAGCGACCTGATGAAGCCAAACATTGTCCATTAAGAAGCCAGACAGGACGGGGGTAATGATTGAGACAGTGGAGCCTCGGGACCCGAGGAACAGAGCAGCTCTCGCTGTGGGTGCAAGACCCAGTGAGCAGATTAAGTCGTTGCCTATCTCCAGCCGCGCGGTGC